TAATAGGCTCATTTAGAGTTCAAATAAGTTGTAATATTTAAGTTAGTAAAAACATGTAATAAAGTTCAAATAAAATAAAATATGCAAGTTTAGTGAGTTGCTAAGTTATAGGTTGGAGGTAGTTAAATGCTTTGATTTTATTAGCTGAGGATCAGAGAGCAAAGATCCATGACTTTGGTCCATGAACGCTAATTTTAAATGTGTCATAGATCTGAGTAGCTGTATCTGATGGTTTTTTTCCTGTATTTAATGTACCTTTTTGAGGCCTAAAGAACATTGCAGGACATGATAAGTATTTGTTTAAACGAAAGGTTATCAATCTTCTTTGATCACATTTTAGAGTGGTGAAGAATGACCTCTGTGATCACCCAACTTGCTGAGACAAGATGAAGGTCCAACAATATGTGTTAATGAAGTTACCCCGGTCAGCTGAGGAGTTGTGTGTGTATTTTGACTGTGTAATTCCTCTGTAAATGATTTCTCTGTAAGCCTGTTGTGCTGTTATCTCTGGAAAATGGTTTCCTAGGAGATGAGTCTGTAACTCTGAAACTCAAGCAAGGCCCGCCCTCCATCCCATTGTTCAATAAAAACCTCTGTTGAGCTGAGAGGGGTGGGGGAGACGATGGAAACAGCTCCGGAGGGAGTTGTGCATCGTCTCCTCTCCACTGTTTGGTGAGACGGTGTAAAATGAACTCCTCTTTGTATATGGTGTGTTTATTTCAGGTAAAGGGTTATGGAAAATACAAATTACCCAACATTTGGTGCCGAAACCCGGGATAGCAGAGCCTTTCAGTGGGAGATCGCCTCTGGAGAGCCGAATGGCGCCACTTCCTCATCCAAAGTCCGGGGGGCTGAGAATTGCCCCATTGGCCGGCTGTTTTAGCTTCACAGGCGGACTCCCACCTACGGCTCTCGCTAATCAGATTCAGGGCGAGCCTGTCACACAGGAGAGTGAGTACCTAAATTAAATTGCACCCTTTTCTAATAACTGGTTGACGGTGTGGTTTAAAAAAAGAAAAGAAAAAGAGAATATGTTGGTAGTGATTGTTTGCCATCCACGCACGAAAGACGTTTCGGGCCCCGGCTGAGGGCTGGGCTGATAGCCGCCGGACCTTGTCCTGGACTCCGTTTGCCTCAGTTAAACCAGCGCTGCGTTAAAGCGGCCAACCGCTGCGGGCACAGACACACACTTCCTTTTTCAGCTGCCGACAGGAAGGATTTGACAGATTCTGCTTAGCTCTGTCTGCATGGGAGTACATTGGGATGTTTTCGCAGCGAGTCCCGGCCTGCGCAGCCAGCTCGTCTTGGGTTTATTGATCGTGTATGTGAAATGTATACTGGCTTAATAGATAATGGCAACATACCTGCGGCACTAAAATGAGAAGTGATGTGTAACCATGTTAAAGCGGATAGAAATTTGAGAGAAGAGGAACGTGAGAGAGGTGTAATCGGTCTGTGTCTGCGCGCAGACGCCCCACAACGAATAAGGGAAAAATAAATAAATAGAATGAGTGGGTCGTAATAAGGTTGGATGTGCAAAATCACTATGTAAGCCCACTGACGCTTGTATTGTTAAATATTTCATGGTGCAGAAAGGTACAGTTAATCATCGTTATAATTGGCTAAAGGAATCCAAACCGTTCTAAAATTCACCCCTTGTCGTTCTGTGGTCTGTGTATTCGTAGGTTGATGGGCGGCGTCCCATTTCAGATTGTGCAGGACTGATCACTGTAGTCCTGTGGTGTTGTTATCGTTCGTTGCTGGTATCTGAAATATTGATGTCGGCTGTGAAAATCTGTGCTAAAGTGTTAAAACCCAGCTGCGAACTTTGCTTCGGCAGAGCCTGCAGGTCTTGTGTTTAGGTATGCGTGTCTCAGGACTTGAGGAATGTTGTGTGTGGAGGTTCGGATGCAGTTCTAAGTGGGTGTGTTCGTATGTGTGTGTGGAAGGGTCGACTGCAGTTCCGAGCATCGGTGTGAGTGTATCTGGGTTTTTGAGTGTGTTTGAATCCTGCAGGTTCTGTTCTAAGTGTGATTGTGTAGCTACAATTCTGAAGCTTTGAGCCGGCTCTGTCTGTCTGTCTGTCTGTCTGTGCATGTATGAGAAAGTATGAATTTAGAGGTACTAGAAAAAGAAACTGATGAACCTGAGGAGGAAGCTGTTTATTACCAGCAGGGTAGCTACAGAGGGAAGTTTAATCCCCAGAGGGGTGGTCGTAACAGCAATCAGAGACAGTGGTCCTCACTAGACCACTCACAGCCACTCGTTTGTTGGACTTGTGGAGGTCGAGGTCACATGTCATGTGTCTGTCCTTCCCAGTCAGATGGCCCAGATAACAGAAAGCCCAATAAGGGTCCCAAAAGAGGCAGGGGTTTCCAAACACAGAGGAGCCGACCTAGCTGTGAGCCTGTCAATCAACAGACTGCCTGATAAATCTTCTGGGCAGAGACCTCATGTCAGTGCTAAAAATCTCTTACCCAACAGTATCTAATCAGAGTGTTGAGTATGAGCAAATGAACCAATGTAGCTATTAGCTAACTGAGCTAATCCTTGAAGCTATGATGGAACTCCATTTATTTATTTATTTTTTTTAACCAGGCTGTAAACATGTTTATTTCTGCTGTGAAATTGGCCTTTTTAGCATTTCTGTGTTGGGATCAGTTCTGGGTGTCCAGAGTAAAGGTTATTTTCAAGTTACACTCAAGGGTGACGATTACATAAGCAACCTTGCACTAAATGTTATACGCCACCACTATAAAAATTATTTGTTATCCAAAACCTCTGCTAACTGTTTAATTTTTAGCAATTTTGGTACTTTTGATGTTTGTTTAGTTAAAAAAGTCTAAATAAAAAAATATATACATATATGGTGTTATTTCTGCTTAAAAAGTCTGAGAAACCTGCATATTTATTTGCAGAATGTTTATTGAACAATTCATAAAAAATAGACATTTGATATATTTTTCTTTTTTTTCCTTTGTATGCACTAAAAATATAAAGTTGTGCAGAAACATGTCAGGTCATTAAAAAGGACACTACAGCAGAAACACACTGAAGATAAATATAACATATTAGTTAAAAACAACAACAGTTTGTTTTAAAGGCAACAGAGCTCCTGCATACAGCAGACGTTTAGCACCAACACATTGGCATGATCACATGATTTATGAATAAAACAGCCTTAAAACAAATAAAATGTAACTATGGTTTTGCACTAAAATGTCTGGTTTCAGGTTTTATGCATTTAGTACAAGTGCGTATATGAAATATTTCACAGTTAAGTCTCCTTCACAGTGACTGGACGTGTTAATTAAAGTAGGGCTGCAACAAACGATTATTTGGATAATCGATTAATCGGATGGGGTCTCGACAAGATTAATCGATTAATCGGATTACATACGGACATTTTTAAAAACTGCCAGGGAAACGTTATTTTTCTCCTTCCTTCACTTTATTAAACACAACATTATTAGAAAACAGTTCAATAGCAGAAAAACAACATGCCATCACCTAAATTGTCTTATAAGGTGTATAGACAGAGACCCTAAGCTACATCTATCTGTGACCTAAAATGCTTGGTCCAAATTAAACAGCTTAAAGAGCAAGTCAACCCCTACCAGAGTCTAACTCCACTCCCGCTTCATGTTTGAAAAATGCAACAAATGCTGTTGCCTGGCAGACCGAGAGGGCGGAGCCGCTAACAAATACACACACACTCAGGCACACGACAGCATTGTGACATCATAATGTACCAGTTTACATCATAGCATATTTCTTAGCCAATAGCGGTGGCAGATTTAAATTAAAATACAGTGCAGAGTTTTTACCTGACAACGGCACAACACTGCCAGTTTTAGGCAGAATATTTAAATTTTAACTAAGATGCACTGAAGTGCCAAATTATTGACGACACGTGTCTGCAGCACGATTAGACACTCGTTTATTTAGTTTATCAGCAAAAAAAAGTTTATTTGGGGGTGACTTGCTCTTTAAGGGCAATTCTCATCTGTTTTGTTTGATCTCATCTGTAGACATTTATTATAATTGGGGATGTCAAACAACTAATTTTTAAATGTAATTAAACATAGGCTGTGAATTAATCTAAATTAATCACTATTTCCAAAAATGACTGAAAAATACCAAATAAAACAAAAGTAAATGAATGCCATCCTCCTTGCGATGATGCCCTGGGCAACTGCCATAAAGTCACATCAAGAGATGCTGCTGATCATTCCAATGATCCCAAATAGACTCACATTAGGCCACATGAAAGCAACTGAACCCAAAAATATATTAACCAGTATATAACTGCACTCTCACACAACACGCCTGCAGCAACAGTTAGGACTCCTCCCTCCCTTTTAAAAGCGTTTTTGCTTCTGAGGACATTGTGGTTGAAAAACCACATGCTAGTAGTCTGGCCCCGGTGTAATCAACCAGTTTCTGCGGGAATGTGACGGCGGAACCGGTGCGCAGCGGCGCGAGTCCCCCCCCCCCCCCCCCCCCCCCCCCGACTATCAAATAGCGTCGCGCTTACAATTTTATAGACTTTTTTTACGAGCTTAGGGCATGTCTAGCCTGTGTAATAATCTGGGGCTTGGGTGAATCACTTTTGAAAAGTTTTTAACTTACCCGGACACCGAGCTCTCTCCTTCCTCGCTGATGATTCTGACATGCTTGCGTTTAAGACGCTGCATCATCACCGTAGTATCCCCGTGCCATGCTAAGTCTGACCTACAAACGTTGCATGTCTTCGCCTGATTTAACTGAAAATGCTCCCAAACTTTAGAAGTTTTAACTTTTTTGGGGTCTCGCTGCTTCTGCCATGTTCCTCTTACAAACACCTGCCGGCTCTCCACCGATCTGCGCGCAACGGCGGGCGGGAGGGGAGGGGGCTTTTGGAAGAGTTGCGCAACACAACGAATCGATGACGCAATTCGTTGCCAACGCTTTTAGTAATCGATTTTCATCGAATTCATCGATTCGTTGTTGCAGCCCTAAATTAAAGCGTCCACTTCTGCTCTCAAGCAGCTTCTTCTTGGGTTAAGGCTTCAGCTGAGTGTGTTCTGGGTCCACAGCAGGCAGGAGGAGATGTTTGGGAATTATGGAGCTCAGCTAATGGTAGAACTAAAGAGTCAGGTCCCATCATCTTTGGATTTATTGTAATCTGAACTGGTCAGACGCTTGGGAGAAGCTGCAGAAATGAGTAAAAGGAAACAGAAAGATTATTGGGAATACCTTTTCAAACATAGAACTGTTCATTTGTTCTCACAAGTCAATGTGCTGAAAGAAACTCAGTTCGGTGTTGGGAATGTTACTTCAGCAATAACAAAGGCTAACAGTTGAAAGTTGCTCTACTGGAAACAGTGGTGCATGATTCACACAGAGAAATTTTTGGTGTAAAGGTTAAAAAAATGTTATTCAAGAAAATTCTGGAAACACTTGTTCCAGAATTATGACAAAAATTAAGCTAATATCTGATATATTGTTAGAAATGTTGAGAAAAGTCGGGTTCAGGAGCACAACTAGGTTTGTCTCCTTGAGCTAATCACATCAGCGGTATCTGAATAAAAAGCCTAAATTAAACCATAGCACCCCCTAGTGGCTGTCTGTGGTACGCTCCAAACCCACCGCATCATCTAAACGAATGGGACATTGTCCTGATTCAAAACATAAAAGTACAACAAAGACATTTTTAATTTGACTTTCCTTGTGAATGTTTGGTTGTGTCATCAAATATAGCATGTTTTTGTAATAAGTTCATAACCATGGTTGTGTTGTGGGGAGTTGGCTGAGGGTAAAGATTCTGGTTTTAAAGTTACAACATGGCAGCACTTGTAAATGAAATAGGCTAGGGTCACACTGCAGGCCTTGATGCGCCATTCCAATTTTATGAGTATATCCGATTTAATTGTGGGGCTGTTCAAACTTAACTGAAATGCAACATCAAACAATCTTCAGTGTGAACAGTTCACAGCCCCAGAGTGATCCACAAGTGCAGAAGAGGACAAGACGTCCAACATAGTGGAGTTGGAACCAGAAGAGGTGGAGCCTGCACTGACACCTGTCAAGTCTCCTGTTTAGCGCTGGACACAGTTTTAAAAACTATAAACTATTTTACTCCTTATTCCAGCTGCCTTCCTGAAAAATGATTTACTGAAATTGTTCTTGTATTAACTCATTCACTGCCATTGAAAACAAAAGTCGTCATTTCAAATCCAACCGTTCACTGCCAATGATGACTAAAGTCGTCATTTGCATTTTTTTTACTGTGTGGGCGTCGCAACGAGCCCCCGCACCATGAGAACAAATATCCCAGCTCTAACACCGATCTTCATCCGCGTACGTCACATGTCACGTGACCAGAAAGCAAAAAATCCATGTGTTAGGAGATCGTTTTGGGCCGCTGCTGTAAAAAAAGTGAGCCGCGAACCGGAAAAGCTTCTGCCGATCACAATTCGACAACGGATTATGAAAGAACGGATAACGCTCGAAATGAGCGGATTCTTCCTGATGTAACAAGTGAATCTCCTCTTTGTTTTGGTAGTTTTGGCATTGCCATCATCATAGAGCATAATGTTCTGTGACTTAAAAAAACAGTAAAAACTCTGAAAAACGCTGGCAGCGAAGGGCTTTTCTGATCAGGAAACGGCTGGCAGAGAATGAGTTAAGTTCATTCAAACAGATGACTTACAAAAAATATTCCTCTGTAAATTTCGTTAGTTCTTCTGTAAATAAATCCATTCAGTCATTAAAAATGTTGCTTGCTAATTTTTTGCCCCATGTCATCAAAATCAGTTTCCTTTGGCAATATAAACCTATTTTCTCCGAAAAGAGTTTGGTTGTTAGACTACAGGACTTCAACCGCAAATTTGTTCCGACCAATCAAAACCTTTAGTGTCAACGTGCTAACGTAACTTTTATGAATGTGGTATTGTAACTTTAGTAAGTCCTGCCTTCAGCCAAATATGCAGTGTGACGTCATCGGCAGGCACAGGTCCCAGAGCCAATCTGGTACCAACACCGGTGGCGCCTGTGCTCGGCAGACTCACCTCTGTCAGTGCGCCCCAGAGCAGCTGTGGCTACATCGTAGCTCATCACCATCAGTGTGTGAGTGTGTGAATGAATGAATGATACCCTGTAGTGTAAAGCACTTTGGAATACTCTGACTCTGAAAGGCGCTATACAAGAGCAGGTCATTTATCATTAGTTGATTTCTCATCTAGTCCCACTTGTTCCATTTGCTGACTGGTCAATTCTTACATTCTCCCATCTTTTCCATTTTCTGATTGGATTTTCGTTACAATCAATTTTCACTGTTGTCTTTCATTTGTCGAGGAAAATGTCGATCAATATTAGTCATAATTTAGTCTTTATAGATGAAGTTTTCTTAGTTTTCATTTTGTTTTCCTTCGCAAAAATTCATTTGTTCCAAAAAACCCTGAAAACACTATGTCAACAAAATGAACACTGATATTAAAAAAGAACACGATTATCATCCAGAAACAAATGAACACTTACATATCGAGTCCGACCTCATCATGCTGCTGAGGAACGTGTTGGAACCTTTGATAGAGGAAGACAGAACAGCTAATCTTAAACTCCTGGAGGTGGCATCACGCGTCTCTTCCTGGAACACCAACAGGTAAAACAAAAACATCAAAATAAGTGAAAAGGTTTGGCAAGCAAGCCACTTGTGAATGGAGCAGTTTAACTCAGTTGCTTTACTCATTAGGGATGCTTTAAAGATTCCACATCATGCTATTATAAACTCTTGAAAGCAAAGGTAGTCACAATATATGCTAAAATAGGGATTCCCTAAGTGTGGGGTGCGTGAGCTGCCACTAGGGGGTGCGCGAGGTGAAAAGTGTAATGGCCGCGGAGCTCAGAGAAGTCTGTCATATGTCACCATTAGCATAGCCAGATACTCATTTGTGGGTGGGCCTAAGAAAAATTAAGTGGGCCCAATAAATGCAATTGAAAACAAGTATATTTTGCTTGTGTGTGTGTGTGTGTGTCCTCCGCATGTGCCCTAGCTTCATAATAACAATGCTCCGAGCTTCAGCGCTCTGGCCTGCGCACGCTGTTAATAGCAAGATATGTTCCGTATTTGATCATTTTTATCGGTGTTGGAGAAATCTGAAGGTGGTGAGTCATTCTGGCAGATTGTAATTAACATCATGTCTCATGCAGGTGTTCTGACATTGTAAACCTCACACACAGAACATTGTGGATGTAACAAAATAAATCAAGAAATGATTCCCATCTGAGCATTTTAGCATTATTATATTATTATATTAGCACACTGACTGTGGGACAGCATTCTAAACGTGTCAGGCTATTAACAGCGTGCTGAAGATCTGAAGTTCAGAGTGCGTCTGTCAGAGGTCAGACGCGTTCCAGCGCAACCACGGCTCACGAGTGCACAAGTGAGCACATCTGGGCTGGGCATAAGTAGTTTTACAACATTGGTTTAAATAGTGTCAATAACAAGACGCGGTGACTGGAGCAGCTCATGGAGCTGTGCCGCGCGCGCGCGCACACACACACACACACACACACACACACACACACACACACACACACACACACACACACACACTGATTGAACATGCGCACGCTGCGCAAACTCCGGCCCTGGCTGTGCCGTCAGACTGAAGGCAGAAATGAGCGCTGCCTCCTCCGTGATAAAAAAACTTTTAAGAGGTTTTATAACAACATTTTTCATTCAAGGTCATATTAAGATATTAGCTTCTATTTTGGGATGACGTATGAAATTCGAGTCCGCTCCAGCCAGTGACTCCACTTGAACCTGACCACAACTCATGTTACTGCAGCATTTTTATTCCAGTCCGCGTGGCAGCGGATTGCAGATTCAGCCACACCATAAAACAGCAATAAGTCAGTCTGAGGCAAAAGTGAACCTCATGGCTATATCTTTTCCATCTTTTCCCCTATAGACATTTGATTACGCACAAGTAGGTGACCAGTTCAGGTTTACACAGAGCAGAAGGAAGGAGAGCGCTCTTACCGCAGGTTAATCGTTCCTACTTTAAGAAAACCGTTAAATTGCATTTTTTATGTGCTACCTAGGCATGGCTATATACATATATATATATATATATATATATATATATATATACATACATATATATATATATATATATATATATATATATACATACATATATATATATATATATATATATATATATATATATATATATATATATATATATATATATATATATATATATATACCCATGCCCTGATGTGGGGCTGGGGGGTGCGTCGACTTGGTCGGGACATAGAAGGGGGTGCGCGGCTAAATAAGTTTGGGAGCCGCTGTGCTAAAACATAACTGTTGGCACTTTTGAGATGTAATATATTTTAAATACGAGTTATTTTACTCAACCTGAATTTTTCACGGAACTGGAGCGGTTCGACTTAGCAAAGCTCCGCCCATATCTGTTCCGACAAAACGCTCCTACAACAGTATCATAGGCAAGGCTGCTGTTGTACTGGCCTTGGTAGTCCAGCGGTTTAAAGAGACAATGTGTAGTCTTTACCATTAATCTCTGGAAACATCCATCAAAACATTGTTGAAAATGAATGAAATGAAGCCCAGTTGTTGAAAAATATTAGTGGCTTCATAGCATATAACCATAAAAATCAGGTCTAAAATACACGGGAGTGGGTCTAAGTCTCTGGGCGACGCCATATTAGATGCCATGTTTCCTTCTACGGAAGCCCATGAGGACAAAATGAATTTACTGATTTGTAACAAACGGTTACGAAACTTTTATCATTCTTAAATGTTGTTTTACACATTTACCTCTTCACTTGTTTCCAGTGATGAAAGGGAGTCAGATGTGCTTTTGTCGTTGTGCTAAAGTTTGCACTCCCCAGGGCTTTTTGACCCTAATGGGCATCCGTTGGTAAAGTCATACTCAAACACAAAAATACTGCTTGCTTGCAATGATTTAGCTATCTACTGCCCCCTGTCGCCAAGAAAAATACACACTGTCACTTTAAGCACCTGCCTTTCGTCTTGCTTTGTCATGGGCTGATGCGGGTTTGACTCCCAGTGTTGGCAGTAACTTTATTAGCCAGCTGAAGCAGATTTCATTTATTTATATTGACAGTTTTTGGACTTCCAGTTATTGGGAGTTTTACTGATTATTTTCAGCTAAATATATTGTGATTCTAAACATCTTTGAATTTAGTATTTTCCAAGCAGCGTTTTAGTTGACTTACTCTTCTCACCTTGCATGGATTCACTGGATGAATAAACAATGAAAGTAAAAGAAACAGATTAGTCCTCATGTTTTAAACAGTTTAACAATAAAGGAGTGAAAACAATACTGGCAAGTGTAGCTAAGAAAAAAAAGAAAGAAAAAAAGCTATTAATGCGACCAGGAGACAAACCTGCACAAAATTACATGGCAGCTCCTCATACTAACCTCTGGACCACTGAGTATGTTACTAAATAGCGGTCGCCTAAAGCCGGGCGTACACTGTGTGACTTTTTCACTTTTTTGAGCCGATTTTCCACTCGTGCGAGAATCCACAAGATCAGGGCGAGTTTTGCGCTGAGCGTCGTGCAGTCTACGGGGGTTACGAGAGGCGATTAACACCACGTGACCAGCTACCGATCAGCAATGGTGAGCTCGCACGGACTTCTGGCGTCTTTGATATTTTGCTCGTCCCTCGTGAGGGTATCACACTGTTGAAGCGGCGCTGCGAGCGGCTGCGACCCAAAAAGTATCAGAACCGCTCAAGGCGCATGCACGATCATGCATCAACACCGCTCACCCGCTATTTCCCTAATGAGTCACGTTGTTCGTATTTCCAAACGTTTTTTTACTCACAAAGATTGTCAAGAAAACGTGTTTGTCGTGTTCATGTCAAATTAAACTGATCACAAAACACGGATTTACTTTCTTTATTTCGTTTCCCTCATCCAACCCCCATAGATCCCTGTGTGTCCTCCTGCAGCACTCCTGAAGGACAACAGGCAAGACAAAAAAGTCTGATGTGTTGTGTAAAAACTGCTATTTTTAGCATATTTTTTAGGTCCGATGTGTTGCTACCAGACGTACAGTGTGAGCGCATGACTCGTGAGATCTGCTCTGCGAGGAAGTCGTACAGTTTGAGCTGAAGCTGAGTGCTACGAGTGAAAAAGTCGCACAGTGTCTGCCCAGCTTAAGGCACGTATCCTGAGCTGGCCAGTACGTACATCTTTGTAGACACGATGCATGATTTTATGGCAGTTTTTTGTCCACCATGCAGAAGTAATTTGTCAGAATATCCACGGAACATCCAGATTTTCAGAAATGAGACCAGACCAGCTTCAGAGGGAGGGAAAATGCTTGGTGATGCAACTGGGCAACTTTCTCCAGGAATTTCTGCAGGAATAATATTTACATGGACCAAATTGAAGCAGAGGCAGCAAAATGCATGAATGCAACCAAAAACAGGTTTGGAGGTATTTCTCGTGAGGAAATGACAACATAGTAAAAAGCTCCAAAAAGTGGAATTTCCATTACCATACATGGCCCCTTTAAAACATGAGCCTCTGAGAGTTGGAAGCACGTTGCCAGTAAACAGGCAGACAAGCGTCCCCTCTTGAACTGACACCTAAATATAAAACATTGATCTTGTCAAATATGGTAGTAAATCCAATTTTAGTGACACTGATGTCTAAAAGTGATGTAAACAGTGTTCCCTTCCATGGATCAAAATGAAACCTCACATAGATCTTGTCCGTTCGTTTTCTTTAAACAATCCTCAAGTGAACAGCAGCTATTAAGTTAATGCAATTGCCCCTTATCACTCAACACGGGAGTCATTTAAGCCAAGCAAGGAGGTAATCTAGAAGAGCAAAACCATTTAAAAAGTTGTTGAATGACTGTTTAGCGGAGGTTGCAAACTGCTGATGGCAATCAGCTGTCAACTGTGATGGCTCCCTTGACTGTTTTACAGCAAAGAACACCAAGGTAGCAATTAACAGTGGCTGGTAATGTTCAGGGTTTTGTTTGAGTGTACACTTATGCTGCTACGGCTCACTCTCACAAACAATGATGCATTAGCATTACGTGAAATTATTCATTTATTCACACAACTTGTAAATGAGGTGCAGTGCAACACACTGGCATCTGTGTGGGTGAGTCAAGCTCGTGAAAGGCTCTCGGAGTCAGCCTCTCCTCATCCAACCAGCTCTGTCTGAGCACAGCCGTGAGGTTTGGGATGGAAATGGCGAAAAAGCCTGGTACTGTTGTTGGGACTCATTAAAGGAGCCATATTATGGAAAAACCATGAGATTTTGTTATTTCCTCATGAAAACTATCTTCAAACCTACTTTTGCTCAATTCATGCATTTTCCTGTCTCAGCTGCAATTTTTCAGATATTTTGGAAAAGCCTGCAAACACATGGATTGAAACAATGTACGTCATCAAACCCTAGTCCTTACTCTGAAGCTAGTCAGACATGGAACCTGCCTCCTCTGGAAGTAGGTCACTAACACCCATTATCTCCGACTTGCAAGAATACAGCAGTTGATTTCAGGCTGCAGTTGATAATATGACCTTCATGTCACCAATGACATAATGACCTCCACCAGCACCACAGTGGATATTCTGACAAATTATGGCCAGCACAAGATATGTGTCATAGGTGACTGACATTTTGTAACAGACTTGGTAGCCTAGTGCCTAGAACGGCATGCTTTTTTGAACCGGTTTGACTCCCGGTCTCCGCAGTAATTTTTTTTCTTCTTTTTTAGCTACACTTGCCAGATCTTTACAGACACAAAATATTTTGCAGAAAATAATCAATAAAATTAAAATATATAAGAAATCTGCTTCAGCTGGCTAAATAAATTACTGCTGACACCAGGAGTCAAACTGGCATCAGGACACGGCCAATAGAGCTCCGGACCCCACGTGACTCTCAGTTAGTGGACGCCATTTTGGCATGCAAAAAAAGGTAAACAAACACGGATGTAACCATGAACATGAACGGGATCCGCTTGGATTTTACTTCGTCGGAGTTTACTTCACACTTTAAAACAGAAGAAATCGTTTTATATAGTCAGAAATTAAATAGACTAAACATCTCCGACCCTTACCGTGCCCCTGGGATACTTTTTAAAAACGCCAGAAGCTGTCGGAGCGGCCTTCTTACCGGTACTACACCGGACCTGACCGGGAAACCCCTTGGGATTCCCCCGGCCGGAGGAGCTGGGGAGAAGGTCTGGGACTCTCGACTCTACTGCCCGCTCCGACGCCAGAAGCTGTCGGAGCAGACTTCTTACAGGCACAACACCGGACCGACCGGGGAACCCCTTGGGATTTACCCGGAGGAGCTGGCTCCGGCGGCTGGGGAGAGGGAAGTCACGCTACTGCCCCCGCAACCCGACTCCGGATACGCGGATGAAAATGGATGGATGGACGGACAAATAACAGATTTACACGTAAGTAGTCTCGGTGAGACAGATAATAGCAATCCAAAGTGCTTTTTATGTGTGATCTGATCAACCATTGCTTAAAAATGAAATACAGCTTAGCCGGTTAATTGCTGTGATCATAAAACACGGAAACGGCAGCACGCAGAACTCACGAGGCAACGTTTTACGTGATGTTTACTTGTTGCTATGAGTAATAAGACAGAAAAAGCCACGCCAAAATAAGTTTAGGAAGCCCACTAAGAATCATAATAAAAGCATTTAAAATAAATACCATACACAGTTGAGGAAACGTTGATTTAAATACCTGATATGAAGTGGTCGGTGCATAAGCGAAAACCTTTACTCTCGGGATCCCACAGTTTCATTTTCGCCCGGTCACTAGCGCATTTTATTACAATGATCCAACGTTTGTGGCGCTCCGGATCCTGGGGAATCCTGTAGAAGGCTCATTCCTTATGTCGTCCGCGTCTGTTCTGCATCCTGGGGCACAACAGGAATCTACCATATTTCCCGTTTGATTGAGTTTTCTGACAATAACAAATAGTCCAGCTGCCGGTTTCTGCATGCCAATATGGCGCCGTTTCGATTTGAACTGTTGCATGCCGGGAGAAGTGACGTCAACTCCCGGAGCTCTATACAGCAATTGACATCCCTAAGAAGCATGTTTTGTCAGTGGGTGTGGGCAGAGCTTAGCTGAAACAGACCATTTCATTTCTGGGTGTAAAGTGAAGGTGACAAAAATAACTCATATTTAAGATAAGGGTGAGAACTGAAAACTGGTACTTGTTAAGAACTGGTTCCCACGTTTCAATTCTTAGGAATAGTTTGCCATTTTTGCAAATGATTCCTTTATCAATTCCAGTTGGTGCGAATGATGTCACCCTGCACGTTGTGTAGCTTACATATTTACTCAGCAGTGTTGGGGTCCTGCCCTCATGAGAAAATTACTACGCAGTATTTTCTCCAAAGGACTATGCCATCTACGCCCTGAAGCGTAGACAATAAAGCATGTTAATATAGGCGCCAGCAGGGACTCCATGCCCCATGATCCCCTGCAGCCGACAGCAGCTGACACGCCCCGATGGATACCAGCACCTAAAGAGACCGCCCGCTGGACGAGTCTATAAAGCCGAGGCGCAGAGCGGAACTCTTTCTCTCCCCTGTCCAGTTCACCTGGTGTAAGGAGACCCCCGCCTCTGCTCCTACCACTCTGGACGGCGTGTGTGTGAGGCCTAGCTGCTGGGATCAACAGACCAACGCCATCTGATCTGCTCAGCCCCGACACAGAGGGACGCCTTGTGTCTGTTCATTCAAGATTTTTCTTTTTTGTCTCTCTCTTTCTCTCCCGCTTCTCTAATAGTCCAAAACAAGCGGTTGACCACATGACTGCTTTAAAATAATAGACGGTCTCTCTCTCTTCCGTACTAAAAACGCCAACGGACCATCTCGAAGTAAGCTCCGTTTCTCTTATTGTTTTTAATATCTAAGTTTGTTTATGCTGTGGCCAGGCCAGAAAGACTGTTTAGATATTTAATTTGCCTTTATGATTGATCTGTTTTTTTTTTCTTGAACTTGGTGAAGCGATTTGAAGTGTTTTGATTAAGTTTACTGTGAACGTTGCTCACACCGTCAAATGCGCGTCTGATCAGGGGGCCCACGCCCACTGATTATACGTGTTTTTGGAAGACAGGCTAAATTACACACACACACACACACACACACACACACACACACACACACACACACACACACACACACACACACACACACACACACACACACACACACACACACACACACACACACACACACACACAGTTTTGATCCTTTGTTCAACCAAACAAAGGATCCGCCATTTTGTTTTTCAAAACTCCCTCCAGGTTGGTAAGCAGCCTATCTCTGTCTGATTACATCATCAAGCAACCCCACCTTTGCTTGATTACATCACCATCGCACCGCACCGGTCTGATTAGATTGTTACTTCACATTATCATTCCATTGTTTCCTTGTTTGTTGTTTGTTTGACAAAACCAGTTGGTTGACATGTTGATTGGCTAGCGCCTTGGAGGAGCTGAGGTGGTTATATTAGTTAATAAATGTTATTGCCAATTAAGTTTCGTCTCAAGTGAATTTGTCTGTGTTGGATAGAATATGACCGCCGCTCGTTAAAAGAATTTCATGAACTTTAGACAGATTGATAGAGGTTTGGATTCATTTTTCCCCTGTTAAAAGGGGTGGTGCCCTGAGGCATATCCACAGATATCCTAATTAAGTAATAGAATCGATAAATATTTCCATATTTACAAATTTTATTGATGAATCCAAAGGATAAGTAAAACTTACAAACTATTTGTTGGCTAATAACCACAACAGCAGCAAACATGGCACCTAAGTGGCACAAAACACTGGAGAGTTTGGTTATACTATAAGAAAGTATGACAACAGGGAAACTTGCAAAGGAGATATGTCATCAAATGGAAAAAACCCTGTGAATATACAAAGGCAATAATTTGGTCTAGTTCACTAGGCTAGTGAGCCATATGTTAACTGCGGAAATCCACGCATCCCAGAAGCAGCACGCGGCAAAAATAGAACCCAACCATATGTTTAGCGGTGTGGCGCGCCGCTTCTAAGGCATGCCTGGAAATTGCCGCATCGCTGCTGGTTTGAAACACTCCGTAGACATACATAATGGATTCTATTTAAAGCAGTGACGTTCCGCAACACCGATGCTTTCAGTGTGAAACCGGGGTTAACAAGTTTTCTGGAGGAAACCCTACACCCCTATTTAAGATCAAATTAAATCTCAATAGTGCTAACAGTCATATTTTATCATACAAAGGTTTAAGGACCTGGGCCCTTTAAGCTATTCCCTAATACAGTCTTTTGGTAAGTGTGTGATGTACTCTGTACTCCTGGATTCTGTGTTTGGACTCGTCCAGCTGGTGCTGCAGATCCTGGACGATCCCTTTGTATTTAGCATAGCGCTCCTCTACAGTCTCCTTCTGCTGCTGTGATGCCTGAACAAACAAAACAGAGGCTGCTGTTACATAAATCAGACATAAAACACATCCTAACGGGGTTGCATATAGTCTAAAGGCCAAAACTCTAAATGAAGAAGTAATATTGATATTCAGGCTATATTTCCCAATCAATTTCCCTCTGGGATTAATAAAGTATTTTTGAATTGAATTGAATTGAATTTACACCCACCTCCAAATCTTTGAAGCCCTCCATCAGACAGTTTTTATCTGGGATCGATTCCAGGTGTTCCAGAGCAGCTTTTGTGTTCTGTCAAACACAACAAAGACACATCAGTGTCTTGCAATCTCATGTAGATCTTGGGGGGAATAAAACACCAAAATGTGATCCTAAACACAAAGTTAGGTGGAACGTATAGGTACATGGCTTCACATTAGAACAGCAGAACTCTTTGTGTGTCTAATCAAGTCATATTCATATTTTCTGTTAAAGCAGCACAAAGTAAGATGAGATAAAAGTTACAATATTGTTCTCACGTATTAATTCCTCTGACATGAGTTACAATAACTGCCCAGTTCCCATTTCAGGGGAGGTTCAGCAGCAAAGGAACTGGTTGTTAGAAGGCTTCCCACTGACAGCCATATTAATGGCACATTGACACGATGCCGAGATTTTCTGAGTGCACTCAGGGAGAGTAGAGAATGGGTCAATGTGTCCTGTCTCTGCGCAGAAAAAGTGGAAACTGATAGAGGTCCGAGCACTTCGTCTTCTCTCTTGTAGCGGCTAAGTGAAGGCTGGCGCCGACAGGCATGACGCATAATTGTGGCAGAAAAACTGAGACAGGCTCCTTCGTTTGTTTATTTTATTTGTTAAGAAGAGTAAAAAGTGTATGTGGGTCAATATAACTTTTCAATAGTGATAACTAATTTGTAGCGGACACCTAACGGCTGATAAAGGATGCTGGCAGTGGCCATTACTAGTGCGGACAGTGAGATCGATCTCTTATTGTCAGGGCGGCTCAGTTCTAAGCACCATCACAGAGACTTATGATGATTAACAGAGCGCTCAGCCTTGACTAAAACAATCATTTCTAACTGTGTGTGTGGTTAGCTAAACAACACTACCTTGGGTGAAGGTGCTTACATGGCAAAATCAAAACCATGCTGAAACTCAACACAAGGTAGTACGTAATCTCTCATTAAAAACATGCATTTTATTAAAGGGGCATTATGGAAGTTTGACAGCCAAATCATGTATAGAAATAATAAATGTCTTCTTCATACATTCTCCTGCAATGCCCTGGTCCTGTAGAATGAGCCCTGGCATTTTTACTGTGATTGCCTGTTTTTCTGTAAAATCACAGAAAAAGAGAGATGCTCGGGTTGAACAGGCTGCTTCATGCGCGTTCACGCTCAGGCATAGCCCGTAGCATTTGCTATCCGTAGCTTTAGCAGCAGAGAGAGAGGCAGTGCCTCTTTGTCGCTGTTCTTAACGCCTAGTGACAAAGCTAGCTACATTTCTGAGGACCCTTAGCTACTTTCTTCTAGATATTTCCTGCAAATTAGCAACAAAATAGCCATTTTCGCTCCGAACCGTTCTCTGAACGTTGTTTCAGCTGTCATCAAGGATTTAAATGTTACAGATACGAAGGTTGTCACTGACGCTTTAGCTCATCTAGTAAGACGTCGGACTCCCGTGCAGAAGTCCCGGGTTGGATTCTGAGTGTGAACATAGTTCATTTAGAGTTTCTTTTTTACATTAATGGTATATTTTTTACAGTAAGATGCCCAAATTTTCATTTGAGACTCGCTGAACGGCATTGAATTCACAGATAAAAAAGATGTGTGTTCAACTTTCATTTTGGAACAATTTTTCAAGCAAGGGAAGGGAATGATCTGAGCATGCAGGAGGACTGACCCATCATAAACCTTCGTCGGCTGTGCTGAAGAGAAAGGTACAGAACCAAATTATTTAATTAATTAGCTGCACATTCTCCTGTCCTCTGGGCCATACACACGCACACACACACACACACACACACACATACACACACACACACACACACACACAAGGGACTGTCTCAGCTGTTATTTTCGTTAAGGAGTGTGCATGTACAGCATGCGCGCCTCGTGCACGAGCCCACTATTGAAGCTGCCATTACGCTTTTGGCCTGAGAGGGCCATCGCGAGCATAAAAATTCAAAAGTCCATAAAGTCCCTTTAAGGAATGTATATAGTTTACCAAGTTTTAGGATAGAGGTCGTTTAATTTTCAGAAATTACAGAATTATAGTAGTTGTTTTGATATTTTATAATGACATGATGTAAGGTCTCATGTGCACTATGACTATCAGCTAGTAACAGTCAATTAGAGCTGAAAATCAGAATGAGTTTTAGTGATGGGTTGGTTAAAGTCAAAAGATCCTAAACTGGATTGATTCCAATAGTTAGCTATTTGTAGATGTATGCCCAGTGATTACCATCCCAAAAAGTTTAATTAAAATCTGTTCTGTGGCTCATGAGAAATGTCAGTCATGGACTAAATGGGACAGACTTCAATAGTCGGTGTTAAAGGTTTGAACAGATAAATGATGATGCATCAACAGTAGAGGCAGCAGTATTTGACTTTGTGGTAAAACCTTCCAGAATGACTCATAAAATTTTTTTTTTCAGAATTTCAGTGAAGATTTCTTTGAAACATGACTAATGTATTGTTACTCCCACAGCAACAGAAGAGAAGCTTACCATTTCCACATCCAAAACGCGATCCTATAAAGACATAAAACACAGCAAAGATAAACAAAGTTGTGCATACAAGAGACTTAAACAGGATCTGTGTGAAATGATGAGTCCAATTCAAAATGGCTGAGAAGAAAAGAACGGAGCAGATGTGTGTGAGAGTTGAAAAAACAAAACAGGAGAGGAATAGGCTGTTCTAACATAACACGGGGAGGAAGCCGGGGAGAGTGTAGCACAACAGGCTTCTTACTACGCACACAAAGACAAAATGCTCCACCCACTCCTCCAGCTCCTGACTGATGTTCCCTCGCTAACGATGCATAAGTGATGTTCTGCCTCTTATCTGCCACTCAAACGCACGCCTGCTTCTCCCTCCAGCAGGCTCTTTTTTTTTCTCCCTCTGCCTGGAACGTGCTGATGGTTTCTAACAACTCCCTCCTCCCCCATCAGTTCATCCCTAACTTCTACTGAACCCATCTGTGTCCCCTGTGCAACCCGTTTTTCCTCTTTACGTGGAAATAGTGTCCTTTTGCAGATACCTTAACGTGTGTATATGCATGCACACATCTGTTTAGCATTTTAATGGTGGAGTACAGTGCCTGTGATGTACCAGAAAGGGGGGGGGGGGGGGCAGTTCACTCAAGCCAAGGTGAGTGGATGGCCTGCCGAGTGTAACTGCATTGAAAAGCAGACAAGGCCTTCAGTGGCTTTTACACTCCAAGGCCTGGCGTCTTCAGCAATTAGCTTTTCTGTTGGAGTGAGCCAGCGAGGAGTCTGTCAGGCTCACAGCTGTGCAGACATGTTGGGGGGGGGGGGGGGGGGGGGGGGGGACATCTTACATGTAAAAACAGGACAGAGGGAAACATCTTGTGTGTAATAAATGGCCTCCTTATGCTGTGGAAATTGGATTGTTTGAACAAGAAAAAACCCAGCAGACAAACCGATAGAATAATCAAGATACATGAATCTGACCTGAAGGCTTCTCATTTCCTCTTCCTTCCTGCGACTCCTCTCCAACAGCTCTGAAATGAGGAGACTGTGTAAGATAAGATGCTTTTGCTGATAAACAGAATCCTCACATCCCAGTTCACTTTGAAAAATCATCTGAACTCCATACTGGATTTAAAAAAAACAGAACTAGGTTTCCTTGTTAACAGGGTTCAGTTTGTAACCGGTCTAAATGTTATATTTTCATTAAAAAAAGGAAGATACTTGAAAATAAAAGGTGCTATTACTGTTCCAACTAGGCTCTCCTAGCTCATCCATCTAAAACTAGAGCCTCTTGCTGTTAACCGGAAGTGACGTTGTTCAAGGAAAACGTTCGCGACTCTACTCAGAAAAACAAGGATTTGCAGTAGCCGCACGGAGCTCCAGATTCTGAATCCGAACTTACATTATGTTAAATACTGAAAGTGCACAGCCGTACAGTCTTAAGCAAGCAGCAAGAGTTGATGGGAACAGGCTAAACAGGAATAATAATTTAAATGGTGAAAGAAAAGCTGCTGAAGCGTGGGAACTTCAAAATGCACACAGACTTGGAAACGCTAACTGGTAAGAGCATTTTTTATTTAAATATATTTCTACAGAAACCTGTCCCCTGACATATTACATTTAACACATTTGCATAAGAATTATTTTTGTTATCTAATTTATGAGTTTCTAAAGTAGTTTAATCATAATTGCTGCTATTTTCCGACTCCGAATCATCCAGTTTCCTGATATCAAATGAACCCTCACCTTCCCCAATAAATGTATATAACATAGACCAAACAAGGTGTTTTTCCCAACAGAAGTTTCCGACCCCCCCCCCCCCCCCCCCCCCCCAAAAAAAAAATCAACCTTCTCCTATGGGAAAAACTTCTAGGGTCTCCAAACTCCAAGTCTGCTTCAATCAATTCAGAAAACCAACCGAAGAAAGATAGTGGCGCTACTATCTTTGCTGACTCGAACATTTCACCTGAAAGCTGTGGTGAGGCTCCATAATACTAGAACCACTCTTATCTTCTCATGCAGGGCAGACCTGCTTTCAAGAGAAGAGGCCAACAGGGAGTTGTGTCTGCACAAGTTCTGAGAGAAAATAAACAGACTGCTGCTTGACACTTATAAATTCAGTGACACAAGTACTGTATGGCCCATACCGTATTCACAGGATAGGCAATAACAGCTAATCTGTTGAGATAAAACAAGTGCACACACGTTTCAAGGAATTGATGTTTGTAATTGCTGCACAGAGCAGAAACCATTTTTGTAAATGTGTCATTTTCAAAAGGCTTTCTCAGCAGGATATAAAAATGAAGTTTAAAGTCTCATTAGTCATCGCACACTGGTGAAATTCATCTACGCATTTGACCCATCCCCAGATCGGTGAGCTGCAGCTGTGCTCAGGAACTACCGGTTTTTGGTGGTTTAATACAGGGAGAAAAAAGTCTCAAAAGATCTGTGCGTGTGTATCTAGATTTGTGCGTGTGTAACTAAAGATCTGTGCATGTGTATCTAGATTTGTGTGTGTGTAACTAAAGATCTGTGCGTGTGTATCTGTCACGATACGTGCCAGGAGGAGGTTAGGACCCAAAATGCAGAACCCAGGACGACACGAGGCAGGAGTGGAGATTAAGTAAAATCCTTTATTGAGGATGGACCAAAACAAAATAAAATCCAAAGGGCAGGAAGCCAAAAACCAAAAATATCCAAATACTGAACGGGAGATTCAAAAACACTAGAGACCTAGAGACTCAAGAAGCACAGGAAACACTAGAGATCAAACGAGACGAGACTGACAGAAACACAATGGACCGACAAACATATAGAGACACAGACAGGGTTATATACACTGGGGAGGATGAGAGGGAGATGAACTGCAGGTGTGTGGGGAGAGAGAGGACAGGTGAACTCAATTACTAATCAGGGCAGTGAGTGAGGAGGAAGAAAAATAACATGATCTAAGGCAGAACCTAAAAATAAGAAGAGCAAAATAACTAACTAACAATCTAGGGAAAGAAACACACTAAAAACAAAATAACTAACTAATAATCTGGGGAAAGAAACTCATCAAAAGAGACTAATAGATGAACAGCTGAAACTAAAGGAAAACACTACAGAAAGAGACACTACAGGGGCGCGACTAAGGAGGACCACGGGGAGCACAGGACCTGGAGGGAAATACCTGGGGGGGAAGGAAACCTAGAGGGGCTGCAGCTCTGGGAACACATGAGGAAGACGTAGACAATGACACAAGAGGACGCTAAGATACACAACAGGAGAACCTAGAGATGGATGGAGAACACAAGGAGACACATGAGGGAAGGGGCAGACGCAGATCATGGCTCTGGAGACAGGGACACTGGAGACAGGGACACTGGGGGCTCTGGAGACAGGGACGTAGACTCTTGTGGGGACGAAGACTCTTGTGGGGACGAAAACTCTTGTGGGGACGGTCAGCGGATAAAAAAATCAAAAAGGAGGAATCAAAACTAAAAAAACTAAATAATTTTTACGATTCTGGGAAAAACTGGCAATCCCAGTTACAATTGATGCCGAACCCTAAACACAGATGATTTGTTTCATTTAGGTTGCACACGTTCTGCTGCTGTTTCTCAGCAGAATCAGCTGATGGAGGGCTCTAATTTCGTTGCGCTGTTCGTGTCAGCGGACACGGTAGGGTCGGGGAGGGGGGTGGGGCATGACGCTTAGCCTAACTTGGCCACCCACCAGGCTTATAAAGCGCTGGGGGAAACCCTGGATGCTCCACTTATTCTGACGAGCTGCGTAAACAGAAACACAAATGAACGACATTGGCAGCTGCCCGCTCCAATTACTCAACACATTTTGTGTAATTATTGTGACAAGACCGTTACTGCAGGTCACACACAGAACTACACACCAGCGTTGTCAATTTTACACATGTTTATTTCTCAGGACTGATCAGGAGCACAGCATCTTCCCGCAGCTGGATTCGCTTGGTCAGTCAGTTCTCCCCTGGCTTTTCGTTCCCGCGGTCACACATAATTATATTAAAAAAGCATAAGTCATTACATGGCTATAACTTGTTTGTTTCTTGACATGTGGGGCAGATTTTAAACTTTTTTATTTTGTCACGAGACTTTGTCTTGGGGTTCATCCACTGGAATTGGCTATTAACCACTGCCTTCAGCATATTTTATCAGCTGGAAACCTGCACAATTTCACTTTACGGTTCTCCTTACATTTACTCGTGCAGCCTACAGCTCTATGTGTGTTAACCATGAGAATAGATTTTATTTTGCTGCTATTTAGCTCTGTTTATTATAACTATGTAATAAATTATTATAACTATAACTAAACCCTGATTTATACTTTTCCATCTGTGTCTGTGTGGAGACACACGACACAATTATGCGTCGTGCAAGGGCTATCCGTCAGGCTCACAGAGGGTAATGGAGACATGCCCAAAATTTTAAACATCCGTCAAAAGTGACGAAGACCGCAAGCTTTTGATTGGTCAGGACGCCCCTTCCTGTATACTCATCACCAGCACCGCCATTAACCCGTTAAAAAGTAAAAAGACATTTAGCAGCAGACCCAGAACAGATTGAAGAGTGTATCGCTGAGAAATTCTAAAAATATGAACATTTATTCACCCGTGGCTGAAGGAGCACAAAATACAGTTGTTCTTGCCCTCCAGTCTGTGGCTGGGGGGAGTGGATGCGTGACGTCATCAAGGGGTCAATATGGCAATAAAAAACTACTGGGAAATTCCATGTCACGTACATTAGCTATGTGGACACTAGTCTGGAACACATATACCTGTTTTCAATAGATCAAGTCAGGTTATTGTTACAGGAAACACCTGTTTACATTTTTCATCAATTGCTGATGTTTGTCTATGTGTTTAAGGGTGGAGTCTGGAATAAGCCACTACGAGTCAAAATCCCACTGATTCTTTGTCAAAATATAGGTCAAATTTGATAATTTTGCTACAAATTATACAACAAACTATTTTGGCTGATCTGTTTTGGAATATTATTTGGATTGTGTAACACTACCACAAAAAAGGGACCAGAATGTTTTTACAAAGCTTTTCCAGCATTATCTGTTTCATTGCATCTTTTACTCTTTCTGTTAATGAAAGAAACATGTGGTGCATTTTCCTGTATTGTTCAGTTAAAACGCTAATACAAACCCAGTGCCGGTTCCAGCTCATTAAGAAAACCTGAGTCAAAAACTGAACTCAGAAAGGAAAATAAAGTCTATTTGCAAAAGAGGACTCAGCACCATTAAAATGCTTTCTCAAACATTTGTAATCGTAAAGAGACAGACCTGTCTGCGCAGTCTAAAAAACAATGTTCAAAATTTACAGGTGGGTGCAGACTGCTATTTTCCCAAGCACACAATAAAATAAGACACAAAAAGCACTAACCAGCATAAATCTTCCCTGCACTGAAATAAGGTATTAAGGTAGCGTGACTCAGGGTTGCGAATAACCACAGTCACCAATTCTTGTCATGTGTCTTGCCCATGTATGTCTGACCTCTGAATTGTGTGTACTGAAACTCTAATTTCCCTCTGGGACTAATAAATTATCTTTGATTTGATAATTTTTGTTCATCCTGATGATGAGATGAAGGAATGGGAGTCTGTGAGAGCAATATTTCTGTGTATAGTCTGAAATAGCCTCTCCTTTGGTTTTGATGCAGTGGACTAAGACAAACAAAGGATATGGTGTTCAACATTGTTTTTGAAGCAGTGTACAATGTTAAGTTAGCTTCTAACAAACCTTTCTTTTCAGTGCTGAGGGAGCACATCAGCTTCTCCTGTTGCTCCAGGCGTTCTAGGAGAGCTGCCTGTTCTGAGTCTCGGCTCCGCCTGAGAGCCTTCAGCTGATCCCGGGTCTGCTGATGCTGCTTCCTCAGGCGCTGTTCCCTGGTGTCGCGCTCCCGCACTTCTTCACACATCCAGCGGAGCTTGGTCTGGTGTGTTTCAGCAACAAGAAGTTTCATTAGAGAGGTTATGTCACTGAATACTGACACATCTGGTCCAAACTTTTTGTTAAAAAACAGACACAACAGCGAAGCATGGAGGCGTGAGTCATTATGTGGGAATTAATTTCCTTATGTTGCCTGGCAGTGATTTTATGGTAAAATTAAGTCTTACAAGAACATTTGAAGGTTGTAAAAAAATACCTGAAATAAAACAGACTCAGACATTTATTTACACAATTATGAATGAACAGAGGTACCCTGATTTCTCATTTTAGAACAAAATCCCATTTTGTCAAAAGTTGATATATCGGTCATTTCAAATTGATTGATTAGGTAAGCAATCCTGCAATTTCTGTCCATTTACTTTAGTTATTGTCAGTAATTAACTGTATACATTTTCACCTAAGAAGCAACCACCCAGAAGAATTGTCTACAACCTTTTGTATCATTCCTATGTTTCCCTGACATCAAATGTTGTAACTTGGGAGCTAATTACCTCAAATTTTCTCAAGTGTTTCATTCCTGTAAATGCATAAAACTCTGGGCATCTTTCCAACTTCATAGTGAACATTATGGTGATAAGCTAAGAAAATGTTAAAACAATTTAAACAGTCTCAAATATCACTGACACAACTTTAATTACATTTGTCCGTAAATTGAGATAATTGAACAGGAATTGATTTAATTTATAAAGAAGCCAGTCAGTTAATATTATTGGAATAAAGAGAAATAATAGCAGAAAGGAGATATACTGAATCAGAATCACTTCTCACAGTTTAAACGGTTGTGTTCCTGAAACTGTAGACTTTAGATAACGACGTTGAACCAAACACACACAAAAAGACTCATTTTCTGCTGACGTCACATTAACAACCACACAGTAACGATGGGTAAATTAAAACTTTAATCATTGTTGTATACCCTGCGTCTGTGAGCATCAGTATATTTGGTCACAATGACTCAGCAAAATACTTAAAATGTTAGAGCTGCTCTGAAGCTTCTGCTTCCTGCCTGATTACAAAAGAATTTTTAATCAAATACTAAGTTCAATGAGTAACAGTTTTACTCATTAATTTGAAATATGATCGGTCACAGTATTTAACATGAAGGTTAAACGTGAAAATACTCTTCAACCCTTATTTCCTGCATTGGCGTCTGACTGAAAAAAGACGAGGAAATGCTCAGAATACAAAAGCAAGTCAGGTCTCACTGTAAATTTAAATTACTGAACTATCCCATCTTGGCTCATGATGGAGAAGGTTGTTGTTGATTTAGCATCCAGAAGAGAGCAAATAGCATCTTGGCTAGTGGAAGCAACCCGATAACATTAGCAACTCCTCAACATGGCAGAGCTCCTTCCTGTCTGTTATTTATGGAGATAAAGCATCAACATTGCAAAGTAGGCTTGGGCGGGTTTACAGTAATATCGTACACCCGGTGTTAAAAAATAGCAACAGTGTCACTCAGTTCCAATACAGTCATGAAAAAAAAAACAATGTAAGTAGGTGACGAGGATTTAAAAATAAAAATAAATATAAAAGATAAATAAAAGTCAATTGATGTATAAATCAGATGTGTGGTTGAACTTAAAAAGTTCTAAATGTTTTTTTAAAGTTTATGTGATGTCCTCACATGACAGCATGAAGGAGACGCAGCAAGAGAGACGAGGAGAAAAATGGCTAAGCAAGGCAAGGCAGCTTTATTTCTATAGCACAGAGGCAATTCACTGTGCTTTCCATTAGTATGAATAGCAAGAACATTAAAATCAACATGACAGAAAATACAACTTTAAAAGTCTAAGAAACAAAGAAGCTTTAACTAGTAAGTTCTCCAGTGTTTTAGCACTAATCACACTGAAAGCTGGCATTCTAGTCAGATTGTTGCTGTGTGGCTGTAGCAGTGGTCTGGTTGTGTTGGCTGACATGGAGGAATAAATGGTTGATCTGATGTTTATGATTTTCTCATTGAAAAATAAAACAAACTCATTAGACTTACAGTTCTTGACAAAAGTCTTGTCGCTTTTGTATGTTGTTTGTATGTTTTATATGTTTCCAGTAGGTCTCCTGCAATATTTGCGGCGACTGTGGTGTACTGCAACGGAAGATTCATCTGAAAAATCCACCTTCTGCCACTTTTCCAGCATCCATCCTTTTAGCAGGCTGTAGGATTTGGCAAATGCCACACTGTTTTTCAATTGTCTTTTGTTTAGTTCTGGCTTATGGGCACTGATTCAACCATGGAGGCCATTTCGAGACAGAACACAACAAACTGTTCTGGTTGACACAGGGATTTCAGGTGACCAGGTCTCCTGGAGCTCTGCTGCAGTGGAAAATGGGCTTGCCTTGGATATTCGAGCCAACAAACAGTCGTCTCAAGCAGTTGTCTTGTGGGGTCTGCCTGGCCTGGGCTTGTCAAAAACTTCTCCAGTCTCTTCAATCTTTTCTTTGTCCTCTGAACTTGATGCTGAGACACACTGAAGGTGTGTGACACATCAGCGGTGGATTTGGTCTTCAGCCTCTTGATAATCACCACTTTAGGTGAATCTTAGGCCTGTTTGCAGAGGTCTAGTTGCAGTTGATATGAAGGTCTAGTGTACTGGGGTTCTTTTTATACACACCCAACACCTAATTGATCCATTATTGGTCACAAGTGAAGCTCATATGACAAGGTGACAACACTAATGTCTTGGCAAAAATGGACTCAATGGGCTTTACCAAGCTGGAAATATTAGAACACTTTTTGTTAGTTTCATTTTGCATTGAAACATTATTTCAAAAGCTGTTTGGATTAAAATGACCCATTTCTTGAAACTATATCTGCATTAGAATTATTTTTAGTGGCACTTTAGGTCTATTTGTACACAAGCAACAAGACTTTTGTCAGGAACTGTAGTTTGGGATATGAAATCAGGGTTTAACTGTGTTGGGAGATTAGTTAACATCTCAACAGTAGCAAACAGAACACAGGAGTTGTTAATATTATCACTAATGACTTTGGAGAAAAAGACTTGTCTCGCCTTATTTAATTAGAGTTGTAAGTGTGCAGCTGCATTCTGAAGGTTTCGTAGTGATCTGGTAGGTTACTTATTCTGAATTGACGCTCAGTTTTCCTGCATTCTCTTTTCTGATTAGCAACTGATTTAGTACACCTCCATAGAGCTTTTTGTTTGCCAGAGATTAGTTTGACCTTTTCAGATGCAATGGTGTCAAGGACTTCAAGAGTTTTGCAGCTGCAGTGATATAAAAGTGAAGCAGCATAGCTGGTAGTTAGACCTGTTGAAGTATTCATGCGTTTTATAAAACTGGTGCAGTGTGATCACCCAGATACCCCTTTTGAGAACAACTGAGGTGTGATGTGTAGCAGGTGAAACAGATATATCGGAAAAAACACAGACATGGTCAGATAGACCCACATCCTTAACAACAATGTCCGACACATCCACATCTTTGGTTATGATTAAGCGTGCATCCCAGATCATGTGTTTGATGATAGACATTTTGTAAGATCAAATAAGTCAATGTTCAGCAGATTTGTCATTAGCATCATCAACATGAATATTAAAGTCACCAGTTATGAGAAGATTTGCAAAGACTGTTGTGATAACAGAAAGAAGCTCAATGAAGTTTTCTAGGAAAAGACTGCATGACCCTGGAGGCCTTTAAGGTTGGTTTATGCTTGACGCGTCCGTGAGGTCCGCACGGCTCCGCGCGGAAAAGTTGCGTCATTTTGCGTCATTTTAACAACCACGCCCCTCCACCGCGTCTCCGCACGGCCCAAGATTTCCGCAACGCGCACCTCGGAAAATTTCTAACCACGCGGACGGTCGGACGTGGAAAAACATGGCGGACCGGCACGGCAGAGGTTCGTAAATACAGACATTTGTATGATTCAGCTCTCAGAGATCACCGTGATCAACATGTTGTTAATAATTCTTGGAGAGAAATAGCTCGCACTGTCGGAAAAGACGAGAACGCTGTTAAAAATGCTGAAATACCATGTTGTAAACAGTGATTTCTACTTCTACTATGGTGTTGTGTTGGATGCATGCCGTAGAGCTCCATGCTGCCCCGTTCAGTTTGGGAGAATATTGGCTCACCGCAGAGACGAGCCGCACAAACCTTAAAAGCTGCGAGTTGTGAAGCGCGTTCCAGCCGCGAGCCGCATCACCGCGCGGAAAGTGAATGTGTCAAGCATAAACCAAGCGTAAGATTGCAGACACTAACATATTGGGTGTACCTTTAACTTCAAAACAAAGATACTCAAAAGAGGCATAATCACCACACACTAGCTGTTTACTAAGGAATGAATCTCTAAACATAGTAACAGCAGCTGGCAGCTCGTACACCAGCTGATTTGGTGTCTAAAAAGAACACAACTTCAGCAGTTTGGGAGTATTTCAGGTTTGAAGCAAACGATAAAGGAGAGCCAGTAAACACTGATGAGGGAATTTGTGCAAACAAAAGATGACAGCGAAAGATGCGGGTACCACAAAGGAGCGAGCTGGAGCTGAAATAGTAGCCTACTGTTGGGAGCCTGTTAGTAAAAGATAACAACGCACTTTTCCGGATGAAAATATGCTGCCAGTCTTCCCTAGATGCCATGACTAAACCCAAGTATCCGTGTGTCTGAGCCACAAGCTCATCGAAGCAAGTTTTCAGCAGTCGGTCCACAACTTCCTATGCTGAAACCAGAAAAGGTAAACATGCTGGCTTTTTAGGCGATAAATCTGTTTCTAAGCTGCATTTTTTAAAAGCTGTTAATATTATGTCTGTTATGTTGTGATTGTTTTGGTAAAAATGTTTGTTATTCTGTTTCTGAAAGGTGAAGGTCCAAACCAACAGTTTGGTAATTCCGCTTAAGGCTTACGTCCTCATTTTTAAATTAATCTCAATAATACCGTACACCGTGGAAAAATGTGAAGGAAGTTGGACGGTATTAAAATTTGGATACAGCCCAAGCTTATTGCAAAGCAAAGGGAGTCAGTAGAATCACGTTGGCGTTAGCCGATCAAAGGTAAAATTTCTGAATATCAGAAAATAAGACTCCAAATCCTGCAGAGTTCTGCTCCCCTCTGTTCTAGTTTACTACTAGTTCCTGAAACTGGAGCGTAAAAGCTTTTTTCCCCCCACAGAAACTGAAACACAAGGCATTCATTTAGACTAGAGGCCACTGCAAATGTGTTGAAAAACTGAGTGAACTTGGCCTTCAACATCTCCCATTCAGTGCTGTATGTTTTCACGTATCAAGCTGGTAACCAGAACCAGACCGTTTTAATCTTGACTGAGAACCAGCTGGTCTAACACTCAAAAATAAACATATTTTGGGATGGTCAGTAAACACACGACAGCTAGGTTGTTCAACTAGGTTTCAAAAAATGAGCTGGGCTCCTTTAATTTAATACTTTTTAAAGGAGCTTTCTTAAGTAAGACAGAAAGATACAGAGTACAGAGATTTTTAACTTTTTAGAACTTTATTAATGTAAGCTAGTTTACAAATCAATGCCCCTCTACTCCTCAGTTATTTTTCCCCCCAAATTATAATATTTCAGTGAATCAATATTTTCTTTCTTCTCTACTCCCAACCCTCAGGTTGGAGGAATTGTTTTTACTGTAGCCCCACATGCAGCAATCTCTCTCTCTCTCTCTCTCTCTCTCTCTCTCTCTCTCTCTCTCACACACACACACACACACACACACACACACACACACACACACACACACACACACACACACACACACACACACACACACAAGGATGTGTGTGCACAGTGTGAGGCTGTGTCTGTACTTAATGTGCATAATTAATGACCATTTTCAGCAGAAATGTATGTTTAATTTAGTGTAAAGATGCAGTAAATTGAATGAATGACTTAATCTAACATTAGTTAAACTTTTTATCCTCCATTCAGATAGTCCTTTGGAGGTACGTAGTTGATATTTATTTAATAGAGAACCAGTAAAAGGAAAACCGTATATGAAGGATTTGTTTGATCAAAGGGTTGATACTGATACTGATTTTTGGCCATCTCGCCCAACCCTAGTCAATGGTAATATTTTATCATATACTGTGCCTACCTTTGCTCTTGAAGGTCTAAAATAGCATGATCTGGTCCCTTTAAAGGAATCTGCCTGAATTGGAATTGGCAAAAATCACTATCACAATCGTCTTAAAGAACTAAAACCAATGCATTTCAAGTTTCATCAACACTGTAATATAAAGGCTGCAGCTACATTTTGTGTGTGTGGCAAAATATAACTGATTGTTTCATAAAGGTAGAGAAAATGCAAGCAGCATAACTTCATGCATTACCTTCGTCTCGGCGAGCCAGCGGTGTGGATCTCTCACTAATCCAGGTCTTTGGGAGATCGCCTGTTAGTAAAGAATAAACATAAATGTAAATGTGAGCTGTCCTGCCATTGTTGGTATGCATTATATAATTTTATTTTCACAAAGAAAGCCTCCAATGCAACAGAGTGTGACTAACTCATTTGAATTCTGAATAATATAAATGTACAGTAACCTGACTACATGATTACACAAAAAAAAAACAGTGACTGAAAATGCGGAAGAACAAAAAAAAAAAAACATGGAAAAGAGTGAAAAGGGTCACCTGTTGGAAGCCTTAGCTTTAGCAAGATGCTGCTTCTGCCAACTTAAATTGGTGTGCACATGTTTGACACAACGTATGACACGACACACATGGGTGCATGCACACCTTTTGCGCAGAGGTGGTGTGTGTCATGAAAATGAGCTCAGAGTCTGTGCTCTATTCGTCCCCAGACAAGCTTGTCAGCATCAGCAATGCAAGCTCAGTGCCAACACTTAATGACTGCTGACACGCGCAGACACACAAACCCACACTCTTAACACGCAAATACACACGGATAAGCACGGCTGCATCATGTGAGAGCCTAATTCTGCCAGTATGGTGCAGCTGCTGAGATGTGCATGCCACACAGCTAGGGTAAACAACTCCTTTTACATCACACAGTGACTATGCATAAAACACTCTGAAACACTACATAAAAGGGAAACACTCCTTATTACTCCTTAAATAATTCAGTGTGTTGTTACTGTGAAACAGAATTCAGATTATTTGCAATCTGGCTGTTTTGAGTCAATATAAACTTGAATAGAGATTGGCTTTGATCAGTTGGAGTTGCTCAGTTTTGTGATCTGAAATGAGGTCCCTGGGCCAAGATCGGGTACCGATCAATGGCAGATTTTTTACCAGGGAAATTTTGAATAATTTGGTGGTCATTCTGTTTTAAAGAACACTTAACTTGGGTTAAGCAAGTCAAAAGTACTTCAAAAACATGTTGGTGTAAAGTTGTGGCCAAAGGTTTTGGAATTACACCTTAATTTATCAAGACAGCAACACACTGGGGCAACAAATTGGTGACAACTACAATTAAAATCACAGTCAAAGTTTTGGCCACACTGGTAGATACTCAGTCACTAAAGAAATGGCAGTCCTTGGGTTGGTAAATTGCAAGATATACAAAATTTTGGTTGGAAACAATTTATACAATCCAGCATTCTTGCTAATTTTCTGAAAGGTATTTATTTTCTAAGAAACTTAACTTGTTTGCAATGGACCCATTGCAAATGCTAGTTTCGGTTGATGAACTCCGCCGTGGTACTTCCTATCCCCTTCAAAGTGAACATGGACGGTGCATGCAGTGAACTGTACTTTTTCAGATCCTTTGGGAATTTGCCGAAAATTTCAGTCAATGACGTTCATTGTATTGTCGACCTTTTTTCATCTGCTCAACAACCCAAATGAGAATAAGGATTCAAATTGTACATATCCCACTGTACAACTATGAAGGTGAGTGCACAACACAGCTGTGCTAAGTAAAGCAAAGATGACTAAAAGGGGCATGACAAACAGGTTGTACTATTATTAAACAATAACTACAGTTTTTTTTGCTACCTGGACCTTATTTCTACAATGCAACACGTTAATTTGCTCACCCAGAGAACTTCGAACACTACAACTATTATTAGTATTAGCATAATACTAGCCGGAAATAACTAACCTATTCCTCTGGTCGGAACCCAGAAATTAGCATTTTTTCATGCACAGGGTCAAATTGTCCTCATTACGTTAAGCCTGGACCACACAGTGTGTGTTTCGACTGTCCTAAACAAATCCATCATCGTGAACAGAATTTTGACAAAAAATGGTGAACGTGAGGGTGACTTGCAAGTTTGTGGCCATCCAGTGTGACCGGCTTTGCGACAGCTTAATGAGCACTCTTTCAACCAAAGTCAGCCTCCAACAGTCGTCAAGCACTGCTTGAAAACCCATGAATCCCATCTGCAATTGACCATTGAAAAAACACTCAGGGAGTGACGTGAACAACTAGTGACGGGTGTACAATACAAGAGTAAAATTAGTAACATTAGCAACAGTGGAGGCAACACTCCTTTTCGGAGTTCGGGTTTGGAGACAAATAAAATAAGTGTTAAACCTGATTTATACTTCTCCGTCTGCGTCGGTGCGGAGACACGCAACGCCATTATGGTGCAAGGACTCTCCGAGGGTGATGGAGACACGCCCAGAATTTCGAACATCCATTGAAAATAACGGAGACCGCAAGCTTGTGATTGGTCAGGATGCTGCTTCCTGAATAAGTGTCACCAGCACCACTGTAGCTCCATTAAAAACTAAACAGATATTTAGTGGAAGACCTCGAACAGATTGAAGAACGCATCACGGAAAAAGTCCGAAAATATTAACATTTATTCTCCCATGACTGAAGGAGTACAAAATACAGAGAAAACATGTACGGAAAAGACGGGAAATCTGGGTTTGGAGGTGGCGACCATATGAAGAGGTGGATGAGAATGAAGAACAAATTTGGCCGTGTTATAAAGTCAGCATCTCTCTCGGGGATCAGAGAGCTATCTGTGAGTGTCCAGTGAATATATGTACAGTAGAATGGGTCTGATCCGTCCTTGGTAGCAGTTTTCTTCTCACTCCAGTGCTGCTGCTTCTGCTGCGTCACTCGTTTCCCTCTCGCCTGTGACTATCCGCTCTCCGCCACAGTTATAAATGACATTCAGATTTCAATTCAGTGATCGCCTGGTGTTAGAGCAGGGCAAGCAACCCAAGGGGAAGGAGAATTTCCCCAAATGGCGCCACCCCCGCTTACGTTTAAGAGGAGGAGAACTTTTATGTCAAAGCGCAAATGCAAAACACAGAGCATTATATCTTGTATGCCCCTAAACAGCAACAGTATTTCAAGATGGCACATAACTATAGAGCATCGACCATTTATGAATATGAAACTGAAAACTTTCAAGCTAATAGGAATAGTTCAAATAGATTTTAGTGAGAAATATTAATGAAAATGGACAACTTTGTGAATGTGATACACGGAATTTGATAGTCAAGAAGAAAAAATATTACACATTGTAGCTTTATTTTGGTGCTCAGAGAGAATCCACAGACTGGGGAAAACACACTGGTAGTTTGCACCCCTTATTAGGAGAAACCCTTCATGATAAGCTGTTGACAAATACAAATGTTGGTGTGTTTGTGCAACTATAGTGTAAACAAAGAAGTTTCCTAGGACTGGTTGTTAAAGATCCCTTTCGGCACAACAATTGATTGAAAACTTGGTGGAGTGAGCTTTGCCATAGATTTCGTGGTGAAATCAGCACGACACACCTTCAGTTGTGTGCCCCGACCTCATTGGGTGTTTCGGCCATTTATCTGCCGGGGTTGGCCCACCCCTGGTTGATCAGACCCGGGTGTGTGTCACTCGGAAGCACCACGTCATCATTTGGCAGCCCAAATTGCATCCCTTCGTTTCAGCCACAGCCAGTGACTGCTCTGTTCCGCTGCAGTGGCAAGCCCTTTGATTGCCCTCCTTTGGGCCTGGCCTCTGATTCCTACTTCCTTCAAAAGCCTTATTATGGAACTGGCTACAAAGCATCTGCATCCCACTTCCACTGGCCACACCTTCACGTTCTAGGGTCTGTTACCGTGTGATCCACCGACAAGTCATCTTCCACCCCCACTCTCACAGACTCAAGGGGTATTTTTCCTTTTGTTCCTTTTGTAGCCATGGTTGGGTGGATCCAAATCACTATAATACAAGGATTCTGCTAGCACGGGTAGCTAACCCGTGTTAGCCCCATTGGGGTCTGTTCCCTCCTGCCAGCAGTCTCTTCAGGCCGTCACCAGGTCTTTCCTGGGTTGTCAGCTGCCCTTTCGCAGTGGTCACTGGTTTTGACGCCAGACATCAAGAATTTTCCTAGGACTGGTTGTTAAAGAAAAGTATTATATGTGTCTCATCTTTATCCTCTTTGTGATTGGCTTGTTATGTTGAGAAGTTATACTCTAGATTTCAGACCAGGGTGTTTCACCCAGTTTAAATGTACAAATTATGCTTTAAAACAATAAACATTTCATGATTTGTGAATCATGAGGTAGCCATACAGTTTCCCTGAATGGTTTTATATTGTATTGCAGCACAACTACAGTTATGACCAGGATATGTCCTTCACTGAGGGGGAAAGCTTTCTAGAACTCATTATCTTTTCATCATGATAACTAAAATTTGGGAAATGAGACAAACATATAAAGCTGCTGCAATGTAACCCACTGACAAATTGTCTTGCACATTTAGCCATTTAGTGTGTCTGTGTTAAGAGGAGTGCTGACGTAACATGAGTGTGATTCAAAGACAGATTGAATGGATGCTGCATTTAGCTCCACATAAACGAGTTTTTACTACTCTAGGCTTTTCTATTGTCATTTTTTACACTGGGGATTTCCACATAATTCTCTAAAAAGCCTCCAGCTGCTTCAAAATGCTGCAGTAAGACTTTTTACAGGAACTAGTAAAATAGAAAAACAAGTTAAAAAAAGAGATTACATTCCTCTAGTAACAGATTCACATCATTGGTTTAGCGTTCCCTTTTAAATGCAACATTTGGCTGAGCATCTTAGGTATTTAAACAGGCATGAATATTTAGCAACACATCAATGTTTATTCTGTAATTTCTATCTAAAATATGAAGGGGTTTGTTTTGAGTAAGGCTGCAGATAGAGCATTGATTCTCTACATCAGCCCCTTCTCTTTGATCCTGTTTCTAAATCAGTGCATGATGATCTGTGTGCAGGAGGAAGACTTATGGGGAAAACTTATATAAAATTAGTGTATTAACTACTTTTGGTCACATATCAACTTTCTTTATGAAAGGAAAAAAAAACAAAGCAAACAAAAAAAAAACTATTTTAAAATACAGTTTCTAGGAAGACACCCCTCCATGCTGGCTTAAATAGGGATTAATTTGATATAGTGATAAAGACACCGAGTTCACGTTAGAAGCAGCTGACTTGAACAAAGTTTGCTTAAAAAACTGAAAAAATGGCCAGGGGGTAGAACAAATGACAGAAAGAGGACAAATAAAGATTTTCTGTTACTCAAAGATAAGTGACCCACCCATCTATGGCAGCTTTCAGAGTCAGAGGACTCCAAAATGCTTTACACTACAGTGCATCATTCATACAGGGAGTGTAGAATTATTAGGCAAGTTGTATTTTTGAGGAATAATTTTATTATTGAACAACAACCGTGTTCTCAATTAACTCAAACAACTCATTAATATCAAAGCTGAATGTTTTTGGAAGTAGTTTTTAGTTTGTTTTTAGTTTTAGCTATTTTAGGGGGATATCTGTGAGTGCAGGTGACTATTACTGTGCATAATTATTCGGCAACTTAACAAAAAACAAATATATACCCATTTCAATTATTTATTTTTACCAGTGAAACCAATATAACATCTCCACATTCCCAAATATGCATTTCTGACATTCAAAAACAATACAAAAACAAATCAGCGACCAATATAGCCACCTTTCTTTGCAAGGACACTCAAAAGCCTGCCATCCATGGATTCTGTCAGTGTTTTGATCTGTTCACCATCAACATTGCGTGGGGGGATGAACCAATTCACAAATTTTTCTTATTTTATATATAGTAAAGTCAAAAGATTTCACTTTAATCTAGCAAAACCTTGTGACACTTCATATCTACTGTTTATTTTTCAACTCTGAACTGCGTTAATAACCCAACATTCCCTCCAATCTGATGGCCAATCAAAACAACAGAAGACTTGCTATTCGCCCTGGAACAAAGTGCATGGCTGGCTTTTACCGCTGGCCGCTGCAGTATGTCGCCACCCGTGTGTCAGGTGATCAAAGCGACAGGCCGTGTGGGGACAGCCTGCCCTTGCGCGGTAGCTAGGTGTAACATTTGTTTAAATAAATCAATAACTTGTTGCAAACGATGTTTATCCCTCTGTGATTTTATTGTCAACAATCTTTAAAATGGTGGTTCTCTGAGACTATTATTGTTTTGTTTTTTGTTTTGTTTTCCTAGTATATTTTAATCAATATTTGAATGTTGTGGCAGTTTGGTTTCTTTTAAGTATATTTGCCAAAAGTGTAATAGTAAGTATAACGGTTTATTTCATTCCACAACAGTGAGGGATCAAAGTGAAAAAGATTTCTCTTTTGTGTAAACTGATACAGCTTTAATGACATTTTAAAATAAAACATTACATGCAGTAAATTCTTCAACAAAATATTCTCAGATTAAAATATTTATAAAATAAAATAAAAAAATGTAGTAAATAATTATTGTTGTATCTCTACTGATCCTCTGGAGAGTGCTTCCATGTCTATCAGGCCCACGTCAGTTCGCCCCAGAGCAGCTGTGGCTACATTGTAGCTCATCCCCACCAGCGTGTGAATGTGTGTGTGAATGAGTAAATGACTGATTGTGTTGTAAAGTGCCTTGGGGGGTTCTAGGACTCTAGAAGGTGCTATATCAAAATACAGACCATTTACGTTAGACTCTGCTGCTTTTGCTTTTCATGTCTCCCTCTGCCATTTGGAAAATGAAGACTCCTACATCCAGATACCTTTAAATAACTAAAGCTCCAATTTCAACATGATTATTCTGCAAAAGTTGTCAAGACTCAAATTACACTGCAGCCTGCTGTGACTGGCTCTTGGACTTATTGACTGGCAGGCCCCAGTCGGCGATGACAGAAAACAGGATTTCAACCAGCATACAAACATTGGTACTTTATCAGCCCTATCTTCAACACTGTCCACTAGGACTGAACAATTTTAGGAGATAATTGATTTTTCTACGAGAAATTGCGATTTCAGTTCAATTTGACATAAATATATATGTATATATACATATATATATATATATATACCGTAAATCCTCTAATACAGGCCCGGGCCTGTATTTGACTCAAGCTCATCAAGCTCCAGGCCTTTATTGGAAGGAGGGCCAGTATTAGAGGCAGGCCTCTATTTCTAATTGAGCAAAATGAACTAATTGTTCGCTGGAGTTTTTGACAATTAAAATTGTGCCCACATTTTCAAAGTTAAACACATTTCTTTTAACAACGGTAGTTTCTGCTTCAGCCCTCTCCCCCCTCCCCCTGCTTCAGCCCTCTCCCCCCTCCCCCTGCGCAGCAGCCGCAAACTCACTGATGCGCCTGCAGCCTCTCGGAGTTCCTGCTGCTCTAAACATTAAAATAATTATTTCATTTTCTGTTCCTCACTTCTGATGACCTTCAATGGTGTCTGTGGCTGTGTCTCAATTCAGGGTCTGCATCCTACCTCGGCCGGATTCGTCGGCCGGTTACGTCACAGCGCCGCGACTCGGCCTGTCCCAATTCGAAGACTCCTTCAAATGCGGTCGACGAATGCGGCCTTCTTTTCGCCTGAATGAAGGATGGGTCGGGTGTATCCTTCAATAGGTAGCATTTCCCAAGATGCCTTGCGGGCCGGCCGGCAGAAAAACTTAAAAACAATGGCGGACAGTGAAGCGGGAGCTGTCGGAGAGGATTGCGCATATAAATGTAAGTATAAACTTGAAAACTGTCAGTTTAAGGACTTTTTGTGATACATGAACGTTATTTTAGTTAGAAATGTTACAGTAAAAGTGCTTGTATTGCGGTCTCGGCTCGTATGTTCGGCCGCGCTCGGTGTCGTACTTCTCCCACTACGTTTCCCCCTGATTTTAATAGAAGTTTGTATTTTAGGACCAAAAGAGAAAACCAGGGAATTTATTAAGCTTAGGGCGGAGATGGACCACATGATCACCGGAGCAAAGTATTCGGCGGCTGTGGCATGGAGGTACAATAACATCTCATATTTTAAAAACTCGTTTGAGTATATTTTTTTCTGCGAAAACATGAAAGGAATAACCCGTTGTCCTCTTTTCTCTTCCTGTTTCTTTTCTTACATGTTTGTTAAGACTATTCTGGAGAAAATGGGCATCCAGGGGAAGGTGCCAGCGATGAGCTTCTGGAGCTGATCTGGGAGGACATGAGGCTGCAGAGCAGCAGAGAGCACAGGAGAGAAGGAAGAACTTTGACAGCTTTTTACTTTGCTAGAAAAAAATGGTTAAGGAAGATTAAACATGTACATATAAAAGAAATATCTAAATAAAATCAGTTCTGCATTAAACTCTTGAATTTTATTTTTGTTTACAAATGAGAATTGTTTACTAGAGGGTATCCGCTGGGTCTTGAAAAGTCTTAAAAGGTGATAAATCGGTTTTGGTCAAATTAAGACCCTTAGAAAGTATTAAAAACTATTATCACATCTTTGCTCAGGCTCAGCTAGTCTAAAGTATTTTCTCTGAATTAGCTCTCCAACAGTCAAGGAAATGATTAACCCCCAGAGACCCACGGTTGTAGTATCACAACATCAGATTTAAGTCTACAAAAATAAACCTTCCCCATTTTTTTTCTTTTTAAAACCACATTTACATTGCTAATAGGTCCTATTCAGTTCTGCAACACTATTGGCTGTTAAAATGTGTAAATAGGCCCGTTTATCTGGCCTCCTAGAACAACATGTGAAAGGTTAAAAATATTTTGCAGTTGTTTTCTAAATTTGGGTTTCTGGGGGTTAAAAAGCTAAATAAAACGTCGAGCTCCATCGTTTAAGGTTCCTTCTGCCCAGCGGTTCCACGGTTGCTAGGCGATGGAACGTTCGCCGAGGGAGTTCATGAAGGCTAGGCCTGTCCAAATTCACAGCCGTTAACATCCGGTCTACCCGGCCGACGGAGGACGCAGCCCACGTCGGCCGGGTGGGCTGGGTCCTTCGAAGGATGCAGACCCTGAATTGAGACACAGCCTGTTTGTTGCAACAGCAGGTACAAAAACTAACTTGTTTTTATTTGACTATTTTTCTGTCCTGTCTGTTTATTATCTTCCTGCATCTCCTCTCAATCCTAAAGAAAAACTGCTACCTGGGTTCATATATATTCACCTCATGAGTTACCTTTGAACTGCAGTTCTAAAAGATCTACCGACCGCAAAAACAGCGGAGCGCTCGCTGTTTGGCGGCCGTATCAGTGATCAGTGCGTCGGAGGACAAGGTGATGCGCGCAGCGCCCCGCTCCACAGCATGCAGCGAAACGCATGAGGCGCAAATAAAAGACAGAAAACATTAAAGGAAATGAACTGACATGAACGATCGCGTGTTAAATTAGTTTTTGAGGTGGCGACACCTGATTGTTACTGTGGCCGTGCTCAGGAGGCAGATCTACCGACCGCGAAAACAGCGGAGCGCTCCCTGCTTGCCGGCCGCATCAGTGATCTGTGCGTCGGAGGACAAGTTGTTGCGCCCCGCTCCACAGCAGCGATACACATCAGGCGCAAATAAAAGACAGAAAACATTAAAGGAAATGAAACGACATGAACGATCGCATGTCAGTACCTACGGGCTGGCACAGCGCGTTGCCCCCCCCCCCCCCCCCCCCTGAGCGCAGGAGCTTGTCACCTGCTGATAGCAGGCTGCTGTCTTTTCCGAGGGCTGCATCTTGCCGGTCATTATCACGTGACAGCGACTAGTCGACGACAGGCATAAAAAGTCACTACAGTAATCCCTCGTTTATCGCGGTAGATGTGTTCCAGACCTGGCCGTGAAAGGTGAAAATCCGCGAAGTAGGGACTCCCAGCATGCCCCTCGCGGGGATTCCCTCCACGTTGCACCTACGTCACAAACCGCGGCTATAAATGGAAGTCGCCTTTCCAGCTCACCACTCAGTCATCGTTTCTTCAGATTCATGATCAGAGTTTCCAACCTACCGATCAATCCAACGAACTATCAGCTCATAGTAAGTTATCTTACTTACTTCTGGAAAGCCCGGCATTTCCGTGTCACTTCGTTGACGCTCGAACGCTCGGGGGTTTCCTAGAGCAGCCGGCGTTTCACCGACGCTATCACTTCCGCGTCTGTGAAACCACGCTCCCTATTGAATTATCGTATGATCACATTCTCTTTTTGTGGGTAAAACTCAAGAAAAAAATTTTTTTACTTGTTTTTTTCTAGTTTTATTACAAAAAGTGCATTTTATGATGAAATTGATGAAAAAACAAGAATTTCTTGATATTTCGCATAGAAAAATACCGCGAATCAGTGAAAAATACCGCGAATCTGCGAATTCCCCCTGAAAAATGCTCCAAAGAAAAAATCTGCGAAGCAGCGAATCCGCGATGAACGAACCGCGAAGTAGCGAGGGATCACTGTATAGTGAAGTTGACTAGTTCATACACCCCCTACTGCTGCTCTCCAGAGTGTTCTGCAGCATAATCAGCACGTTCTCTTTGAACTTGATAGTGTAATGACCTGGCTGGGGTTGTAAGCCAGGTGCATTCTGGGTATTGTGTTATATGTGTTTCCTATCGTTCTGCTAGTTCCCATGTGTTGATTTGCGTGTTGTGTGAGTGTTATGTAAGCCACAGGGAAGGTGATGTGTGTTCTGTGGAGCAGGTTGAATTAGCATGGTTAACTGACACCGTGACTCTGTGTGGTAGGAGCGTGATAGAGGATCGTGTCTGTAGCGTTACAAAGCGTTGAAGATAAAGCTCAATAAAGATCTGCGTGAACCTCTACTGCCTCCTGCTGGTTAATTTGGGGACTATAACCCTGCCGCTGGGACGCTCATACTTGCTTGTTACCACAATCCACCCGACCACAATAAGAGACCGGCCATTATTTACCTCCGCTGACTCCGGCACCGGCCAAAATTGGAGACCCGGCCTTTAATTGAATACCGGCCTGTATTAGAGGATTTACGGTATGTGTGTATATATATATATATATATATATATATATATATATATATATATATATATATAACCATACAATAAAAACATTACAAGCTATTAATTTTTTTCTCCCAAAATTTTCTTCTTTAATCTTTAAAAGCATTTATGTGCTTGTGATTTACCAAGGCAGGTTAACTGGACGTTTTCCTGGGTTGTCTTTTTTTTCTTCGTTAAAGCACTGTTCAAAACACCCCCCCCCCCCCCCCCCCCCCCATGTTCTGTCCGGCTATAACAGCAGTCAGAATTGATGTCCGAGTGCAGAAAACAAGCTTTACAGTTTTACTCTCACAGGTGGAGTATTATAGTTTAAGCTACAATGCCCCGCCTGATGTCAAAACTTTAGTAGAAATGCTTTTGGTTGGTTTAAATCCCAAAGGTCACGGACACGTGGAATGAAAGAGAAAGGGGAGAGGAAAAGAAGAGGTGAGGTAAAAAAGTTCACAGAAACAAACAATAAAGGATGTACAAGAATATGCTTCTAGACCAGTAGAAAGAAAGAGATGATGCGAAGAAAAAAAAGGGGACACACAAAAAACAACAGAACCAAAATACCACTGCGCCAAACCTTATTCTTTTATACTTCTCCATTGGTGCGTCAGTGTTGTAAAACAAGTCTTCCTCAGGACAGCCGAGGCTGTAGCGTTTTTTTGGAGTATACTGCCATCCGTGCAAACACGACGCTAGTGTTTACATTGTGTTTTTGTATTTCAGAGACTTTTTAACATGCGCAAATTTGTCCTCCACCTCTTCATCCAGTCAGTTAAACTTGTGTCCCCTAATTTTCCGACATGAATAAAAAGTTTGCTGTTTCTTTGTACTCCTTCAGTCACAGTTGTATTGACGTTTATATAGTCAGACGGTGCTCAACAAAGTTGAAGGAAGCGGCGTCCTGACCACCCACAGGCTTGTGGTCTCCGTCGTTTTTGACAGATATTTAGAAAAGTGGGCTCTATTCCGTCTATCCTTGCAAGCCTTTTAGAGAGCCCTTGTGATGACGGACAACGGCGTTGCGTGTCTCCGTACTGACGCAGACGGAGACGTATAAACTAGCCTTAAGTAGGACTTTCAGGCACACATCAACACTCCACAGTCTGGCTGCAACTACACAAAGAAGCAGCACCTGCAAATGCAATATTGTGAGGAAGCTGCTATAAACCGAGCAGCTGAGCTTGTGCCAGAACAGATACATCTCGCCCTGCTAACAAAGCAAAACATAACTTCCCTTGAGCTATGCTTGGTAAAAAGATGACAAACATTAATTTGCAAGAGCAGTCACCCACAGCTCAAAAAAGTGTTGCTTCATTTTCTAAAGATAACCCAGAGACAGGGTATTTTTGCATATTCAAAGTGAGAAACAGTCCAATTTTCTAAATCCTTTCTGTCCCAAGCCTTGCCGAAAACAATTTTGCTGCACAGGTGTAATGTGTCCCCCCCCCTTCGTTTTCACTCCAAGCTAAATGAATTTCTGAAGTTGTTGATTTGGCAGCATAAAGCATGGAAGCAGAGGTCCCTTTCTCCTGGAGTGTACAGCCATACGTAAGAGCATGTGACTGTGTGGGAAGATGTCTCAGCATCTCGCTCTGTTAACTTTTTTCGAACCACCAAAGCCTGCTTGGCACGGTGGCAGACAAAAAAAGGGAGGTGAAACTATAGGAAAAATGTAAAGAGTAGGCACTGTAACGTCCAGCAATGGTCAGTTTTTAGGTGCAGTTTGATCATTCAACATCTGGTCAAAAAGGAGACACGAGACTGCATGTGTCCCTTTTAAATCAGCCTGCCTTCATCCCACCAGCTGGAGCTCAGAGCCTGCAGCTCTGAACACAGAAAACAAAATACCAACAATAATGTTCTCTCCTCAAGGTCCAATCTTTCAAGGTTCTTCATGCCTCCATATAAGGAACACTCGCAGCCCAGATTTCCTAAATCAGATATGAACTTCTACAACTTATAAGCTAGATAATCATTAAATAAATGTTTGTTTATTGCTACTTATAATATTTATAATATAATGAAATGTTTCATTAATCTGTGCTCAATGATTGAAGTTTGAAATGAATGTTATGGTATGATTACAGTGATTGAAATATGTTTCAGCATGTTAATATGACAAGGTCATCACCATTTGCACTCACGCAAGGACAAAGTCATGACACATAATTAGTCCCTTACCCCAGATCAGAGCCTCCGGTATCAAAGAAGGCATCTTTCTGAGATTCTTGGTAATATTCCTCAAACTTGTCAACCTCTGGTTGGCTACACAAATTCTAACAAGAGAACATTAAAACCAGATCACTCTGGTTTTTCCTCAGTTCTAGAGAAAGCTTCAGACCAGCCATCTGAAGCAAA